AATGCTTGCCGCTGCAAAAAATATGCCGCTACAATACAAATTTTTAAATTTGTGTGTATTTTTCAGCACTCAAAATCGAATTTTTTGTGACACATTTCTCGGCGCACTAGCAATCACAACAGTGATGAGCTAAGTTTTGTGACTCTGTTAGAATAGAGGGGTAAATGGAAAAGGGAGAGCCGGGTTCGGCCTTATAATCTAAAGCTCTCTTGAGGCATTTGCTACAGTAATGAGAAGTGGTATTTTATCAAGGCCAGGTTACTAAATTTGAGTTGGAAATATTAGAACTCGCCGTGGCACCTCCAAGAAGGTTACACGTTCACGCGTCGTATACCTGGAAACATTTTAAGGTAAACATAGAGGGATTGATATCTTTCGTATGCCTAGCGCGCAGAAGAGATTTTATAATTTCATAGTTTTAAACGGCCTAAATACCTTAACTCGCTTAAAAAATAACGAGCTATAACGAAATGGGCACAGAAATAAAATCTAACATCATTAAGTTATTTTTCATATTTGTATAAACGCGGGGTGAAACCCGCGGGTATAAGCTTTACTTTGCCTTCCGCAGCTACTGCGAGTAAAAGATATTTGCAAGTAGAGTACCCCACTGGTAGTACTTGAGTATTTTCGAAGAAAATATACATTTGTGGTATCTGAATAAAACTAAGGACAGAAATGTAGTGGAGCGATGAAGAGAACGACGAGCAAAACGTACTTTCAACTAAAATGCTGATATACATACATAAGTGCATATGCATGTATGTGCATTAAAGTGATCCAAAAATGTATGTAGAAAAATAAGGTCGGATTTTTAATGCCGCCACCACCTAGGATTGTTATATACCGAAAAAATATACCCATATTTTTTTATTTTGAAATCAAAAAATATTTAGGGAGTGCTCAAAGCGCTCAAAGTTTTCCATGTATTTTATATGGAGAAAAAACAACTTTTCGTAGAAATGGTATAAAACTCTTGAAAATCAATATTTTTCGACCGAAAAACTGTGGTTCTCTTCAGGAGACTTCCAGTATTATTATCCAATTGTTTATTTAACCATTTTTTATGATTAAAGATTTTTTATTGGTCCCCAATTGCATTTTCTAAGCGCTTTTGAGGACCTATAAAATATAGTTACCATGAAAAAATTGTTAAAGAAACAATTGGGTATTATTACTGGGAATCTCCTGAAGACAAGTAAACTTTTCCGATCGAAAAATATTGATTTTCAAGAATTCTACACTATTTGTACGAAAAGATGTTTTTTTTCTCCATATAAAATACATGGAAAACTTTGAGGGCTTTGAGCACTCCCTTAATATTTTTTGATTTCAAAATTAAAAATAGAGGTATATTTTTTTCAATATAGATCAATCCTAGGGTGTGCCGGTATTAAAACTCCGACTTTATTTTTTTGGACCACTCTAATGTGCATAGATATGTACATATGTGCATAGATATGTATGT